GGTGACACAATCAAAATCGTCAATTTTCATAAAAAAAAGAAAAGTTGCCATTATTTGTTAACAGTTTTCGAGGCTCGAACTTTTTTTGAAGAGCTGATGCTTTCCAGTCTAATAAGTACCACATATGCTAAATATCAGAGTTAAAACAAAATGCGGTCGATACTATTAATAACCAATTCTAACTCATTGATATCGTAATAAATTACGTTCAAATTAAAATCCGTTAGATTTATCTGTTTCATCTCATGCCACTAATGGTTTTCGCTTTTTTCTATTGCCTCTCTCACGGCCTACTCCTCGCAACAATCTATCGAAGTAGGCACTTCCACAAAACCATCATCGGGAGGTACTCGCGAGTCAATGAACTTAATAGGTTTCTTCTTGGCTAAATAGCAATATTCTTTCCTGTACGGCGAGGTAAAGTACAAAGGAATAACGCGACGCCATTGTTAATACAACAAAAGAACGGACACAGTTATTACAACGTTAAATAAAACGAAATTCGGTTTCGTGTTTGATTTTCGATTAGCGCTGAGGCTTTGGACATACGTCAAAAGGTCTTGTGTTAAACGTGAGAGAAAAAACTTCCACTACATGAATGCAGTAAAAAATATAAATTATACAATTTACATATACAGGGTGCTACAAATTCGAGGTACGATCATTGGTATCTCAGAAGCCGTAATAGATACGAAGATGGTTAAATTGGGGCAAAGTTGCGCCTTCGGATGTTCACCAAGATGCTATCAAAATACTTAAAAAATTTCAAGGATTGCTGAGTTTTTTGGGAAAACGGATTTTTTTGAAAATCAATTTTATTTTTTCCTTTCATTACTTTTTAGAAAATCAAAAAACTAATTGCACATTCTAAATGCCACTTTATTAGAGCTAACTGATAGCATTTTTAGATTTTTAAATTATCTGATAATTTGTGTATATGGATTACCACTAGAATATTTTTCTAATAAAAAATATGTGCGCCACTGATGGCCAAAATGGTAAATAAGTACTCATTGATTCCTCATCAAAAAATATGAAATAAAGTTCCTATAAGCCTGGGTGCCGAAATGCATAGTTTTAAAGTTACATCATGTTAGGACTTAAAAAATAGGTCTTTTGTAAATATCTTAAATACGATTATTTTTTAGTGAATTTGCTATAGATATCACTGTGTACTGCGTGTACGTCAGAGTTATAAATTTTAACAATATTTAATAATGCATTAGATTAAATAAATAATTTATTATTACTATTTTTATTTTATTAATTGTGGATGAATTGCAATTGCAATCACAATTATTGTTTATCTCATCGAGGAAATTGGAATGTACAAAATAACAAGATACAACCTTTAATGGGCATTGGATGGCATACACGCATACACTTTTTTGCTAACAAGAGGAAAAAAAGTCAGTGGCGCACATGTTTTTTTTAGAAAAATATTCCAGTGATAACCTATATGCACGTCCCTGGTGAATCTGTCGATACTTTTTTACCATTAAAATATGTAGCACTTATAGTAACTTTTACCCTCAAAATTTCATTCGAATCGCTAAAAGCACTTGGAAGAAACTTATAATATATCGAAAAAAAAATGAAGACTAACACTCGGTAGCTACGAAAGAAAGCAGAATCGGACCGTATGTTTAGTGATTCGGAAAAAACCGATTAATTTCAATAATCGAGTACTCGAGTTTTAAGCGATTTCAATAATCGAGCGATCGCTCGAGCGAATTTTCGTTCGTATTACAAATACGGTTTTTCGCGCGTCGCTTGTACTTGCAACTCGTAACGCCACTATTCTTTCGGTAATGAATGGCAAGTAGCAAGCGACTGAGCGACGAGTAATCGCTTGATTTAGTTTACTTTGAAGTATTGTCGATGTAGGTCGTAACATTTTGTAACGCAACGGATAACGTCGTATAAATTTGCTACCTGCAATGTATGTAGAAAATTCGCTCGGCTTTGTATGGAGTATGTCACATTAAAATCGGATTTCAATTTATTTCATTCTAGGATCGCTTGCGTTCGTCGCTCGTAACTCGTCACTTGCATCATAATCGTTGAAATAACCGACATCATTTCAATAATCGAGTAATCGAGCGAATTTTCGCTCGAGTTATCCCATCACTACGTATGTTGATATGAAAAATAAATCTTATTTTTACTTAAATCTTATTTTTACAAATCTCCGTGTTTTTTGAAACACCCTGTATACGTATAGTAAGTACATATATACAGGGTGGCGCACCTCATTCGCCTCGGTTGATTATACGAGAACGGAAAGATGTAGAAACAAAATATTTTATGGGTATGTGTGGGGAGTCAATGTGCACAATTTAAAATTATTTTGAAATATACCAAAGTTATATTTTTTCTTATGGAACACCAGGTATTATATTTTGGATTCTTGGGCCCAAAAAAGACATTTATCATAAGGGTTAAATATGTTTAAAATCATTTGTTTTTGAGATATTTAAAGATATTTAAATATGCATCCTGTACATTACTTTTCAGAATTAATTCTTGTGCTGAGTTTAAAGGCAAAGAAATAAACTTTACTGAAAAATGTTATTGCTGCCTTAAATTTATACAGGGGTACCAAAAAGCAGTGATCTAACGGATTTATACAGGGGTACCATAAAGCAGTGATTTTACGGATAGTAATGTTAAATAATGATATACTGGGAGTAGTAGATGAATACACACATGTAGGCCCAACACAGGCCCAAAAGAATATTTAAACTGATATGGTAAGGCAGTTGTGACATATGGCTGTAGAACTTGGGCATTGTATCAAAAAATCATAAGGAAACTCCAGAGTCCTTATGATAGACCAAAAGAGAGAAGAGTCATTAAGGTAGAAAAGCAAGATAACAGACGTCATCTACAGAAAATTCCTCAACTGCCAATGGAGAGATTACCTAGAGATTAGGACTGGCGGAAACCAAATCAAGTATAAACATATTTAATAAATTTTAATTAAAACACATCCTATTACATAAATTATGAATCCGCAAGTAATAGATACTTCAAGATCTATTAAAAATTGAAACATTCTAGGAAACATTTAAATCAACCTTTTCTGAGGAACTTAATAAAAACATTTAGTTTCTTGAAAACACACTGTATGAATTCTTGTAATATATACGGATTCTTACCATTGATCTAGGTGCTAATAAAAGTATGCCCTCGTTCTCTATTTTAAATTCTTATTTTCGAAGCTACAATTTTCCGTCATAAAATACGAAAAAATATAGATTTATGGCTGGGATTTACGAGCGCGACCTTTAAGCGTGGAAATAGAATGATTGCTTTAATCAGTTTGAAGTTTTAAGCATTAAAAGTACAACCAGGCCTTGGGATTTTGTGGTACTTCGCACATGATACATGCACTATTACCGATTCAGTACGCGCCTTGTGTAATAAATCCGAAAGTAATAAAAATTAATAAGTTATTGTTGCAGTTTCGATTGTTCGGTCACGAGTGTCCTGTCTAAAATGTAATAAAGTTAAAAAGTGTATAACAATAATAATAATAAAAGTGATTAAGTAAAAATGTTATAAAAACGTATTACTTGGAAGTAATATAATAACTTTTAGTGTATATTTGTCTTGGTCAGTTAATTCAAAGAAAATTTTTCTAGCTCTAGTTCATTGGAAATGTTTTTTTTATGCCATATGTGCCATAAACTATAAATACACAAGATGATTCAGTATTAGACTGAAAAACTTCAAAAAGTGATACCTAAACTAGATTTTTTAAATTACTGTTTCAAAATATTAACGCATATGAAGGGTCCAGGGGAAAACATGATAAGCGCGATTTTTTTAGTTTTAAGTTAAAAAAGACAATTTCTTGACAATATGGCAACATAGGTAGTAGATTAAATTTACAAGAAAGAAAAACCCATGCAAAAAGATCCAGCGGTTCTCAAAATTTAAACAAAAAACATTTTTTTTTGGAAATTTTCAAAGCAAAATAACTCGGTTATTTTGACTTATTTGAAAAACGCCCAAGAGAAAATTTGTTTCTTTTATCGAGATCGACCAGCTCTGAAAATATTTGCACTTATTTTAAGACTCACCCTGTATATTCCCTGCAGAGTTTATACATTTTGCAGGGACCAGCTAGATCTACTATAATATTATAAAATCCTAAAATAAAGAAATTGGGGCTTATCAAGTTTTTCCCTGGACCTTTCATATATTATAAATTATCCCTGTAGTAAGTACTCTTAATACTGAAAAACAGAAAGTTTTATCAACTACAACAAACATGGTTTCTTTTTTTAAAGTTAACAATCTAGTGAACATGCTTAATTTCTATTACTGATGACATGTATTGATTATTTCATTCCCAAATACCTTGAGAAGGGTTGTTCGTAGCGAGTTTTACCAAGAGACATTTTTTACGTAGCAGGGAAATAGCGAAAATGATCTATTCTCTCAATAATGTAATACAAGTACGTGCGAAAAGCTATTACATTTCAAAACACTTAAAAAATTTGTATGGTGCCTCCCACTAATAGGAGCCATACCACAGATTAGGTATGTACGTATGACTATGTATACAGATAAAAATCTTGTTTTTTATGATGATGAGCAAACGAGTAAAATTTCCTGTGCGCAAAAACAAACTCGCATTTAAACAGCGTAATAATTGGGCCGGTCAGGCTCTGTGCACAATTTTAGAGACCATAAGTGGGGGCGTGCTATGTGCGCAAACTAGTAACCTAACTAGTGCGCGCCTCCGAAAATTGGAACCACGAAAAACAATGCTTTTGACGATAAGTTTATAATCTGTATAATCTGTGGCCATACTGACATCGAAATCGAATTTCTCATGTTAAGAAAAAATATTTTAATATCCACAAAACGTAATCAACCTATATATTTATTTTGGGTTTCTATGTTCTCCAATTAATATAAGTATTAACTAATTGCAGTATACTAAAAAAAAATAAATTCCAAAAAAATATATTTCAGAATGTACAGACCTGTTGATGATGTCCAAAGATGTTTCTGCTCGCTGTCCACTCATTTGGAAAAGAAGGAGTTTAGATCGAACCCTGTGAAAGAGGCCTCTGGCTGGTTAGTCCTAGAGGACGGCTGGTGTGAGTTGTTTGTCCTCCAAAAAAGGTTTTTTGGAGGTGGAAGCCTGTGTTATTCCCCCGTGGCTGTCACCGATGGCAGAGTCCAAGGGTTGTAGCCCTTATTGTGACTGAAACAAAAAAAAAAGGGGGGTAACATGTAATTTAATATATATTAACATGTAATAAAGTGTAATACAATAAAGATTTTGAATAATAAATATAATAATATAATGAAAATGGACACTCATCTAACAATTCTAATAATTTATTTACATCATTAATGTCACAGTAATAAATTTACAATAGAACAGTTTCATCGACATCCCCTGCTACCATATTTTTCTGTCCCACCTACTGAAGGTATTTTTTATATTATTTTTGGTAAATGGGTTCACTTTTAAGTGGAAGTAGCGCTTGTCGTGCTTCTTCAGCTTTTTTTATTACTCCCTACATTTTAATGGAAACGTACCTACTCGAATGTGTCTCGAATTCGTGCGTAAGGCGTTTTTTGAAAAAAAAAACCTGAACTCGATTGACAACAACCGTCAATTTATAAACAGGCCATTTCCAATAGTAACCTGGCAACAAAGAAAGTTCCTACCGGCAGCGTTAATACAAATATATCGGAGGATTAATAAATGAAATATTAGTATCGTTTTAAAATGGGACAAAATATACTAAATTCAGTACGAAATAAAATTATCTATTTATAATATACTATAGGAATTATAAAGTCTTAGTAACCTGGAGCAATTATTATCCCTCGAACCATAAGCTTTCGGGCCAAAAATTTTGCCCTCGCTAGTATAACTTCCTTGATACATAAAAAACTATATATTGTATGCTATAAATTTATGCTTTTTAAAATGAGGTTTCTTGTAGACAATCTGGGCTTACGACCATTTTATGTTGTGCGGCTTGGTCCACACATCCACACATGGTCTGCAATACTTGACTTCATTGTTTCACCTCTTTGCTTTTTTTGTGTTTAGTCTCTCTAGGAGACGCCTTCAAATATAAATTAAATTTTTAAATGGAAAATTTTAACTGTTTTTAAAATATCCTCTTGACAATATAAATTATTACAATAATAAATAAAATACACCATACATTAAATATAATGTAATTATGTAGTAAATATTTACTACCAGCAATCAAACTACTTAAAAATAAAAGCTTAAGCCAAATATATTTGTTCTTATCTGTTTATCTTTTTTCGATATTTTTCTAAATTTTCATATACTTAATACTGTGATAAAAACTTAAATTATAACGCCACATAGATACCTGAATTATACTACCTAGAACATAATAATTATTTGATTATTTATATATAGATATAATTTATGGTTCCGAAATTAAAAAAAAACATAAAATCTTATAAATCATTTGATTTATTTTGAAGCTAGAAACAACGAGACGACAACTATTCGAACCATAAAATTTGATATGACTGATATTGGAGATGGAGAACTAAACTGTGTAAGACCGTTAATACACTATAAAATTTATTTGTGAAAGATTTTGTTTAAAAGATATTTTATGAATGGAGCCATATAACCATCTAAGATTCGCGAATGATATATAGTCCTAATTGCCAATAGTCCTTCAGAACTACAAGCACAAATTAATGAACAAAATACAGCCAGCAATAAAGTGGGTCCAACACAAACTAAAGTAATGTACAACGAACGAAAAGGAAAGACAAGACATTCTAATAAATCACACAACACTGGAAATAGTACAAGAATATAATATATATATTTGAGACAGCTAATACACAGCTCGGGATCTCTAATACCAGAAATCAACAGAAGAATTAAAGTAGCATGGAGTACTTATGGAAGAAACTCAGTCATATTCAAATCTAGAATGCCACTCTATCTAAAGAAGAAAACATTCAATCAATGTATACTACCTAGACTTCATCATCATGTGTACGTCATGACCTATGCATCCGAAACCTGGACACTTAAAACGGACATCACAAGGAAACTACAGGTAGCACAACATTCAATGGAACGCAATATGCTGACAATAACCAAGAGAGACCGTAAAAGAATAGAATGCATAGATAGAGTAGATACCACAAAAGACCCATAAAATAATAATAATAGTAATAGATGTCATCCATAGAGTCAAATCGTTCAAATGGCAATGGGCAGGACACCTGGCAAGACGAATGTATAACAGATGGACTACAAAAATTACAGCATAGTAACTACGGAATTAAGAATAAGAGGACCGAACCTGAGATGGGACCATGGTATTAGAAAATTAGCAGGCATAACTTGGGGCCGCATAACCAATAATAGACAACAATGGGCCCAACTCCAAAAAAAGTATGTAAGGGAGGCTACATCATAATAATTGTAAATGGTTGAATAAGCTAAAATAATGGATGATGATGATGATAGAATAGAAATTCAACGGAAAACAGTGGGAAAATTGAAACATATAGAAAATACTTGAATAGAAATGTAAACAAAAATATAGAGAACAAATTACAACTCTCAAATCAATTGATACGGACAAAGTTTCAATCTACAAGACAAAAATAACTCTCACTTCATTCAAACTGTTTCGGCTAGTATATGTACCAACTACTGTATACTGCTAGTATAGTACAACTAAATTTAACTGAATATGATAATGGTACCGTATGATCGAAAAAAAAAACATCATCAAGTTGGTTAGGGTTTTCCATAACAAGGGGTCGTCCTCTGCCGGAAACACTGCGACCTGTGAGGCCTATTGTGTTTTTCTCCTTTTTATATCTGCACCCATTCTCCTATCCCTGTGCCCTGCACTAACTTATGCAGGTCCTTGATAGGATGGGAGCATAGTTTCTCCGGTTCTAGCCTAGCTTTCCCAAATAAAAAGTGTCGTTTGCGATCCAGAGCCTCGCAATGACATATTATGTGCTCCGCTGTTTCAGGATCTTTATCGCAGAGTCTGCAGCAGAGACTTCCTTTATACAGGTTGAGCTTGTTCAGGAAACACTTGACAGCCATGTGTCCTGTTTAGAGGACTATTAGTTGTAATCCGCACTTTATTCCTGCTAAGCATTAGCAGTTCTTTTGCGGTATTAGAGCTAGGTCCTTTGATAAAAGCCTTGCTGTGTCTGTGTCCCTGTCTGTTTCTCCAATGGACATTCTGCTTTTCCCTGATCCAGAATTTTAATGCGCTACGGGCCATACATTTGGGTATTCCCAATACTGGCTCTGGATCAAGATATAATGCCGATGGCCTATCTAGCTCATCGGCATTCAGTTGGCTTAGAAATGACAATCAATGACATTCCCCATATAATTTTACATATAAAATGACAGCGATCTTCATTTCATATAGCCATCGCTGACGTCGGTTCCTTTCGATCATATTGTATAAGTAAAGGGGTTTTCTACATTTTATATATAACTGACGTAAATTTTAAATATTTTAGACTACGTTCCTTTAATTACAGATAATTACTATCGATCTTGACATAAGCAGGTACTTAATAGCAATATTGACGGAGGTGAAGCCTCCAATAAGGATATTTATTAATTCATGTCATAATAATAACGTACGACCTCATTTTTTTTCCGTTTCTGTGTCACATAAATTATTTTAAATGCGAATGCTACCAGAACTTTCAGAACTCGTTTTATAATTTACAAAATGAAATGTGGCATATTTCATTTAAAACGACAGACGGTTTTTAATAATGGTTGTTTCTCATTGACGTGTCACTTCTGTGTTAGATGTTTTTTCTCTTTCTCTTTTTTCATTATGAAGACTTATAAATTACTATCTTGAAACGAACATCGATCAAGGGAATAGAATTAATTTTCTTCTATCGATTGCTCATAGATATGTCAATTTTATAAAAAATAAGATATCATTTCGATAATTTTAAAATGAAATATACAGGGTAGTCCGAACTGTGTTTCGGAAACGTCGGCAGTATATTCAGCAGATAAAAATAAGTAAAAAGTTCGTATAAATGTACATATGTCCTAAAATGCGTAATTTCGGAGATAAAGAGGGTGTCCTGTATAAAACTACTAGGCTATAAAAATATATAGTTCCGTGATTTTTACGTAAAAAATGTCTCTTGTTAAAAATCGCTACGAGCAACTGTTCACAAGATATTTAGAATGGAAATAATCAATACATGTCATTATTGACAAAAAATAAATATGTTGAGTAGATAGTTATTTGACTGAAATGATAAATTTGAGAATTTTTATATTTTTTTAGATCTATACTGATATATAAAATCTTTAAGTGACTGACATACTGATTAATCACGATCCTGCTCAAACCACTCACGTAAGAAGCTCAATTTTGGCATACAGGTTGATTCTAGGGTGTAGAGGTTCGATAAGAAGGGATTTTTCGAAATTCTAGTTCCAAGAGGGTGAAACCACCCCTCAAATATTACAATATTCTTTATTTAAAAAACGGTCAAGTTTCCAAAAAAACGCTTAAACATGTATATTTTATTTTGTTTTTTTACATATTATTTTAGATTTTTTAAAAATGCATACAGGCTGTTTCGAAAAATCTGGTCATTGATTAATGACGATCCTGCTTAAAGGGCTTGACGTAAAAAGCTGATTTTTGGAAAACAGATTGACTTTAGGGTGCAGAGGATCGATAAGAAGGGATTTTTCGAAACTCGAATTCTAAGGGGGTGAAACTATCCTTCAAATATTAAAATATTTTTTATTTAAAAACCGGTGAGTTTTTCGGAAAAAAGTCTTAAACACGTATATTATGTTTTGTTGTTTTACATATTTTAAGATTTTTTATAAATTTATATAGGGTGTTTCATAAAATATGACCATTGAGTAATCATGATTCTGCTTAAACTGCTTGACGTTTAAAGCTGATTTTTCGCAAACGGATTGACTGTGGGGTGTAGAGGTTCGATAAGGAGGGGTTTCTCGAATCTCAAATTCCAAGAGGGTGAAAACGCCCCTCAAATATTACAATATTTGTTATTTAGAAAACGGTTAGTCTTTCGGGAAAACGCTTGGACAAGCATAATTTATTTGGTTTTTTTACATATTTTGAAATTTTTTAAAAAATCATACAGGGTGTTCTAAAAAGTTGGGTAATTTCTTAACCACGATTCTGC